AAATAACTCATGACAATTTTTAATTATAAAACTATAACAAATGTTCAATCCGCCCTTTTGTACTAAGCACTATCCCAGTCGATTGTAACATTCTCGTCTAAAAAATAATCGTTCTTCCCGATAAAATAATCGTTTGGGGCTGGAACTCCCGAATTCAGAGACCAGTTAATGATATAGACAGATTAAAATTATTAAGAAATTCCTTAACCTCCCGGGTAATGTGCTTAGAGCACCCATCTATTTGAAACCAAATTTCTTCCTCATCTTTCTCTTCAAATACCCATAGGTGCACATTTTCTTTTCCATAAAACTCCCTCCATATAAATCCTAATGAGCGTAGATATATTGCAGCAGCCTTGTCAAAATTTTTGTCATTATTAAACTCGTCATATCTTCGTACAAGTCCCTCATAGAAATAATGTAAATCAGTGTAATTTTCTTGTCTTTTAGCACCTGTTACAGATTTGCTAATGGAATACTATCATACGCCTTTTGAAGATAAATAAATTACATTATGTGTCCCTATATTGTGTTTCATGCTTTTTTATATTGTTTGTTTTAGACAAAACACATTGTATATACAAGGACTACTACTATCAAAGAACTGAAATCTTTACCGTCTTCTTCACAATCTTTAATTCGGCCTTTATTATAGGATCTTATTCGATCAGTTCTATCGCTATTTTTCTCGGTCCTGGAGATTTCCCATTTTTCATACTATAGACATGTTTTAATTTTTTTCTGGTATTTCTTCTTCTTCTTCATTGCCTTATCCGGTCCGGATGTTGCTGATCATCAAGGCTACTATGGTTTTGTTGACTGCTCTGAGAAACAGCTCCGCGGAGGTCATCTTAAACCATTGTCGGAGAACTAGACTTTAAAGCAGTTAATACGGTTATTTTGCATAAATTATAATTTTATATGTATTTTTTCAATCGTGTCTTTACTTTTCTATTCCGTCACCGTAGCAATTATTAAAAAAATCCACCTCGTTACAGAGGTTTACTAGGTGTAGTAGTTCCAAAATAACAATCTTCTAAATTGCAACGCATCTCTAACACAAAACCGTAATTCGTTTTAAGAAGGCAACGTTAAATCTAATTTGCAAGTTAAATTGATCGACGCAATTAGAAATAATTAACTTAGACAGTCTCAATGTATTTAAATCGGATCAAAATAATTAGAGTTGGCCAGGTCGGCGAAGAAAACGTTTTTTGTCTACGTTTCTCATTCATCAATGCCGGCTGATCTTAAATCATGTCCGTACATTGGCGTGTTCAATTCGACTAACATATCTGAAGTACTTATTACTAATAGGTTTCTATCTTCGATATTAACGTTCATTATCCTTTATTTACTGGTAGCAAAAAATAAAGGAAAATACATCGATTCGCCAAACTAATGTTATAACGAAATTAGATTTACTAAAAAATACAAAAAAGTTATGGAATTAATACTAAAGTACTAAAGATAATGAGTCAAGCGTGTTTTTTTAAACGCTTTTTTAATGTCATAATATCTAGTTTCTTCTTTATATGTAGATGTGTATTGATTACTAGGTGGTCCGATAACTAACCTCCTTTGAAATAGAAAATATTTTTTTCAAAAAATTCTTTTTTTAATTCGATATAGTCTCCATTTAGCTTAATATAACGATTTTCCATCTTTGTTTCGTCAACCATCTCTTCGTTCGAGTTGATTTTTTTCAGAAATCCCTTCTAATTTGGGAACAATAATAATCGTAGGAGACGAAATCTGGACAATAATTCAAACGAGAAAGCAAACGAAGTCCAATTCATAAATTTTTGATATTGTCATAGCACTCTTGTGACCGAAACAACACTTTTTCCTTCTTCAAATGGGGTCGTTTATCACTAAGTTGCTGTTTTAACTGGCCACATGGCCACAATTAATAGTTTTCGTGATCGTCTTCTCTCTTTTCTCCCTTCCCCACACAACAGAGAGCCCTTAACTTACCTTCCATCTAGTACTATTGCCACATGACCCAACCATTTAAGCCTTTTTGATCTAACTATCTGACTAATTTTTGGGTTCTTTTACAGCTCACCGATTTCTGTATTTAATAAAATTATAAAGTCTCCGTAAAGCACTGTGGGTTGGATCACTGCTCGGTATACACTCCGCCCTCTACATGTTTCTTAATTTTGATAGTTTGTGCAGCGATGTAAATGATTTTCCCAAGTTGTTATAGCTCTTTTGCTACCAGTACATTTTTCCTGGAACATATTGTTCATATTGTTCCCACCAATGATATTATCAAAGAACATTAATACTCTCGTAAACACGAAGCTAGACAAACTTAACGAGTTGTTGACATCCCGTAATGTTTGTTGCACCTGCTATCCTTAGTATTGGAAGCCATATAGGGGTCCATATAAATTTGATTGTAACAATATTTTTAGTTATATTTCTATTGTTCCGATTTTGGTAAGGTTGGCCAAATTATCTACTGTCTTTTAGTTTAATTTATGGCTAATGGATAGGAGTATACAAAAAGAAAATGAGGATGAAATCACTAATAAAAAAAGTAAAATACATATTATTTTTCATTTAATATCTTCTTTTTCTTAAAGCAAAAAATTGATGCTTAGTGATATTCTTCCATTCTGATCTCTAAGCTATTTTTCTCCCCATTGTCTAATTTTCATGGATTTAAGGTTTCTCTCTACATTTATCTATGTTTTAAGTAATTTGTATTTAGTCTTTCTTTTTCTTTTGAAAAATTTTTATAGCTAATTTGGTCTAAATGATGCAGAAGACTGGAATATGCAGAAGAAATGGTAGAAGATATTTCAATAGAAAGCAGAGGTAAACAAGGATGTGTACTGTCTCTGATACTATTCTGAATCATAACGGATTGGATCATGGAGAAAGTAATCGATAAAAAAACAGGTATTTGGTAAAACTTACACAACCAGTTGGAGGTATTAAGGTTCGCAGATGACATTTGTCTCATAAGTAAACATAGCAACCATATACAGAAGAAAATTGACAAGCCTATAAAATATTCTAATGTAATGGGTCTTAAGATAAATACAGAAAAAACGAAACTCAAACAACAACCAAGAAACTAAAACTAAAATAAATGGAAGGCATATAGAGAAATGTAACTTAAGATATTTGGGATTTTCTTATAATATTCTTCCCATACCCTAGCCATTTGTTCTGGATTTATTTAGATTTGCTTTGATGTATCTGTTATTGCGCTTATTTTCTTTTATTTTCTTCCCCTCATATGTCGTATTGTCGTCCAAAAGCTTCTATTATTTGTTACATATCCTTCTTGTAGTTCTTCTCCAAATTCTTTTCATGATTTTGCTTTTGCTTGTGTGACTGTCTTTGTTAGCACTCATCTCTGCCTGTAATATTTTCATGCTGTTTTCTTCTTTTTTATTTGTTTGTTCTCTTCTTTATTCCGCCATCTTGTCCTTTTCAACAGTTTGTGGCATTGTTTGACTTCACACACTTCAGTTGCTGTTTTCCTTAACTCTTTACTGTAAGAATTCCATCTTTCTTCTATTGTCCATGTTTCTTTCTGGCTCTCTATTTGTATCAATCTTTTGTTAGTTTAATTTTTGTACAGTTCTCGCACATTTTCTATTTTGAGTTTGTTTACTTTTACTTTCTTGTACTCTTTTCTTTCCACCTCCTACATTTTTTAATTCTCCAGTTATGCAGTGACCATCCTGTGTTGTGTGGACAATTCCAGCACCTTTTCCGCTAAGATATTTTGTATGTTTTGTTCTAGGTTTCTCTAATACTACTCTGAATATTAAATTCAGGACTTAGGCAGGGGGATCCCTTGTCACCGTTGCTGTTCAATTTTGCTTTAGAATGTGCAATAAGTAAAATATCGTCTGAGCTGATAGGATATATTAACAGGTTGCCTTAATAACACTAGATGGTGTAACCGTAACATTAAGTGTGAGCTTGATTTTAGTGTTTATTTCTAAACTCAAATTAATGTACTGAATTCGTATGTTTTGTTTCAATATTTCTTTGAAAAATAAAGAGAACTCCCGTTCAGGGAGTGATGTTGTGTAAAGGTTCTTCACGAATTTAAAACTAAGGAACCTAATAATAGCGTCTAAATAATATATATATATATATATATATATATATATATATATATATACGTATACATATATATATATATATATATATATATATATATATATATAAAATATAGTATTTTCCCAATTATAAATTGCTAATCGTTTTAAAAGTGTTGATATTGTACTTAATAAAAGTGTATACGTAATCGTAAGACTTTCATTCTGTCATACCTATATAAAATTTTTGACAGTAGAATTAGTGTGAGCAGAGGTTAATTGACGCCTCATAAAGTCAAAGTTAAAGTACCTATTGCGCGATTTTATACAATTCCTGACCTACTCGAGAAGGCTGTTTTGGTTGGAATGAACTGTATTTATCTCTAAACGTATTAGCCAAACCAGACTATATTTAAAATAATCTGTTTACTATATCTATAAATTACGTTAACAACTTAATAGCCCGTCGTTCTATTGTGCTTCCTCACATATTAAAAACATGTATTTATAAATTCACAATGCGGCAAATTATAAAATAACTACAATTTAATAAATATATAATTTCCTATTCGCAATTACACCCTTCGGATAATTCAAATGCTTCTAAAGATATTAGCTAGTTAGCTTGCTTGCGAAATGCTTGCAGGCCTGGGTGCTTTTGTACTATACACAATTTAGTTCTATGCAGGGACGACTTAGGCTAGTACAATCGCAAATACAATAAATAAAAGAATATAAATAACTATGTAAATACGAAAGCCTAACCTACAAAATTATCGTTTAACTCTAATTTACAACACTTTTAAACTAGCAACTAATTCAATTACATTGCACAAGTTATTAATATAATTTAATAAATATATCAGAATGTTAAAATTTGCCGGTTTTCACCACACAATCCAATATAATATAAAAAATTTAGCTTACCGCCGATTTTGGTACCACGTTTTCACTTGCGTATCTGTTAAACTAAGTTTTGCCGCTAATTCCATCCTATCTTGCACACTGAGGTATTTCTGTCGTTCGAAACTTTTTTCTAACGTTTGTAATTGAAGATCCGTGAAAGCCGTACGCGCTTTTCTTTGCTTTTTACTTATTGCACCGTTTTTTGAAGATAAGGAATCGTCGCCGTTTTGACCTGGAACAATAAAAACATAGTAAATGTAACATCACAAACAAAAACAATTAATTGTGGTGTATTCGTTTAAACAAGTTTGGAAAATCTTTATATCCAGTTTTTTATATAATTTTTTTTTTCTGCCATATTATGATTTGGGGATTTTTAAAATATCCCTCCAATTTAGCCGGTGTGATTGTTGATTATTTATTTATTAGATTTACTGTATATTAGTTTATTTAAAACTTTATCAAATCTATTAAATTAATTCTATTAATAAGCCCCTTATTTTCCAAAACATTGATATAAATTGCTTGCTCAGCGAAAGAACAGATGGCCGCGTTATTCTTGTTAAACCAACCATTTTAATTTCAGCACTTTGGAGATCCATTAGTTAGAAATGGCTAATAATGGTGAAACCAGTGGTCAATTATTTTATTGTACTTTTAAAACAGCAATTCGTTACGGACATCTGCAATACACATTTCCTCTTTTTTGTATTTCAAGAAAACGTTCTAATAAGCTTAAGTATTATTAGGTAAACGTTTTCTAGAAATTGGTTTTATGTGTCAGTGATGTAGAGGTGTTTTGTTGGTGATATTTTTTTGATTTATTGAGTAGTTTGTATAACAAAAAGAGTTCATATACAAGGGGAATCCGAGTTTATACTTTTAAAACAATAATAAAAAGCATGTTTCTACATTACAAGATGTTATGGATTGGATCTGCAAAAATATTATCCAACAAAGCTTCTTAAAATATTCTAGAGTTGGTTTGAGAAAAGAATTTAGTACTGCTCTTCATTTGCTCTCAGTCATACTATTTAAAGAGGTTTATATCGCCAGTATTTTACAGGATGCCTTCTTGGGACATTTGATATTCTATCCCTTAATGTTTTCTCAGAAATTATTCTCTACGATCAAATTTCTGAAGTTCTAAATACCCTTTCCATTTCTGTTGTATCTGCTTTTTTCCATAGCTTATATCACTATTGGTCCTCATCATTTAAGGATGTGAAATTTGGGTTATTACGCAAAGGGGATCTCTAAAATCTGAGCTAGCGAAATGAGATTTATCAGTGACAATAAATGTAATTTATCAACATTAATCTGGCTTTACAACTCTGTATGGGTTTTATTTCTCATGTATTTATCAATGTTATTAAGGAACATTGTTCTAAGTATTCCGCTTCTTCTCTGGCCAATGGGCCTATCAAGGAGAAGTGAATGTCAATTTAAGACAATAAACAGGTAACATATTCTTGGAAATAAAAAATATAACATATATGAATACATAGATGTACGAAAAATTAAATGACCAAAGACAAAAAATATGATTATTGCAAAGGAAAGGAAAGGTAGTGATTTGATATGCTTCTAAAAAGAACTGGCGCATGATTTTTATGATTTACAAAAAAAAATTGGCTCATTATAATAGTTCAAAGGGTTATTAAGGGTGGATAATTGAAATAGGCCAGCCAAGGAAAGGGACGTGTGCAGGCGGATGCTGGGAGAGGCTAGAATCCGATTTGGCCTGTTGCAACATAGAAGAAAAGAACATAAGCTGGGTAAGAGCGAAGATAAAGAAATTAATTGACGAAACACATCCAAAAGGATGCTGCATGCATTGACTATCTAAAGCAGTTATATATATATATATATATATATATATATATATATATATATATATATATATATATATATATATATATATATAAAGAGAGAGAGAGAGAGAGAGAGAGCGAGAGAGAGAGAGAGAGAGGAGAGAGAGAGAAACAAGAAATGATGTGTGATTCAGAAAATCAAAAGAATACTAATCAGTTAAGAACAAATATGCGATGCAAACTGGAAGTCGATGACATCAAGTACAAAGACCAAATAGATTAGCAGCATGCTTTAATAATACCATATGGCGCAACCGACATATTAACTGTGAAATTAAATCAAGAATTTATAAGGTCAGTATAAGCCTAATAATAATGTACGCATCAGAAACAATACCTGGCACAGCCAAAACACAAAAAGTAATGGAAACGGCAGAAGTGGTAGAAGAAGTTACCAAGAGTGACAATATCCATATCGGCAAAACCCGACAAATTCTGACAGAAGATTTGTTGACACTAAATTCAACAGAGTTTTGCCTTGGATTCTGTTCAATTCAACAAGAGAAACTTATTTTTCGATATTATGAGAAAAAGAAGATCTATTAACCAAAAATTCAATGAAGCGTTTTATTACATCAAGTGATCTATATCGTTACCCAAGTTCAAAACGGAAACAATTTAAAATAACTACTTTTGAGAAAATGGCTAATAACTAAAATCGCTCAGCTACGACCACGTTTTATTGAGATAACCAATTATTTGAAGACTAGTATTTTTTGCAATTCTAATGTGGTTTTAGTAGATGGTTACATCATAAGTGTGTTTTTTATTTCCTTTCTACCTAATTAAAAGAAAAAAAAACAAATCTTTTAAATTTCATGTTAGTTCTGTTTTGAAATAAAAAATGGAAAAAAATTGATGTTGTTTCTAAACTAGGAAATAAAAAATAGTATAACTTAAACATTTTATTCCAATTTTAAACATAATTAAAATTAAATACTAGATATCTTTCACTTTTTCACACTCGTCACAATCACTATCATTATTTGGTGGAATATTTTTTTGTGTTTTTTTGTATTTTCCTGCTCCAACAAATTTCTGTAGAAATCCCAGTGTACCTTAGGAATAGCTTTGAGCTCACAAAGTTCTAGTAATCCTTTCTTAAGGTTAGATGGAATAAGAATAGGTCCGGTATAAAGTTGAGATAAACTAGGTACTGATTTATTTCTTGGAGACTTAAATTTTATATTGATTGATTTGTATTCAGCATCAGAATAAGATGTCTTGTAAAAAAGAATATAAGGGTTATTTTTTTTGACCATAACAATTTTAATGTCAGTCCACAGAACTTTTTCTAGTTGTTCGTTTATATTATAATTGTTTCCCAAAGAGGATGTCAGTTTTTTTAGGTCCAGAAATTCCTCAGTCGTCATGTCTTTAATTTTATAAGGATGGCCGGTCTTTTTGGCTAATTCTATTATAGTACTCCATTGAGCAGGCACATAAATCGGGCTGGCCTTAAGCTTTCTTTTTTTCTCCCTTTCTATTAAGGAATGCATATTGTCCCCTTCGTTTTGGGTATGCCCAGCTATTAAAAATTTGTGTGTAATGGATTCAATTTTTGTCATAGACTGCACACAGTACATGTACATTGCAATAATAAATTTATTTTTATTTTGCCCACTGCAATTATCACTGTAAAAAGTAATATCTTTTACCTGGTTCTCATTTTGCTCTTTTAGAAAATAATATACACAACTTCCTATTTCATTTGCACCTCGTTGAGCAATGGTCTGGTTCCAAAAATAGCAGAAACCCTTTTTTTGTCCAATGTCATACACGGTGAGGTTATAACAAGATAAACGACTTTTATAAAAAAAATGTGAAACCTCTCCACAAGGTACACTTAATACAGACTGTAAGTCATAAACCGCAACTATTTGATCAGTCGAGGAAACAGCTTTTGACACATCTTCAGCTTTTTCTTTTCTACTTGCCTCTTTTTCTAATTGATGATTTTCGTAGTTCATTTTTAAATTTTCTTTCTCTTCTCCCGTAGCGGTATTAAAGCTATGACATAGGGCACATTGGTCCTTTTTTGGTTGAAAAAAACTTATATTGAATTCTGTAGAAAAAATTGTGGAGTACATGTTATACTTTCCATAAGGTTTTTGTAGTATTTCACATTGTTCTTTATATAATCTGTACATAGTGGACAGGTTAAGACTTCCATCGATATATTTTTTGGCAGTTCTTGAACGACAGAAATGTGATTCTATTAAGGGAAATGAGTTTATGTGTTCACGTATGTCGGCTTTTATCTGTGGATTAATAGCCCTTCCCATGTGTCCATGTTTGCCACGTTTATCCTTTTCCAGAAATCCATCCTGAGATTTTTTTTTTCGTAACGGTAAAAATCATTTTTGAACTAACGTTTAGTGTACCCATAAAAAATGTCTTACAAACTACGATTTTATTTCCATTGATAGAAAATGTATAAACGAAATTGTATGACCTTTTTCGTTCAGGCAGCTTTTTTTGGTATTTTGTTTTTAACTCAGACATGTGCCTTAAAATAAACTCTCTTTGGTCATTAATATTGCCCATTTTCCAAAAACTGTTGTGTATTTCTTGACGTATTTCGTTATTAATTTTTTCGCTGCATTTGAATCTGCATTTGGGCCCACAAGCTGATTGAACACTTCTTGCTGCAATTATTTTACCTTTTTTTGTTGTGAAACTTTTTCCTAGATTTCTTTTTTTCTTTAACACATTCTTTTCCCAATTGTCTGGATTTCTAGATCTTTTTTTTGTGAGAATTTTCTCACTCAGTTCAGTTTCTTCAACCATTTCTTCTGTTTCAGCAACTTTTTCGTGATAGTTCTCAGCTTCATTGTCACTAGAACTGGTATTTGCTCCATAAGTGTCGGGTACAATATAATCTTTATCTTTGCTTTCATCACCAACACTAGAATTTATTTCCTCATCGTCATTTTCTCTCTAAAATAATAATAAAAAAGCTAAATTATACTAAAATATTCAATTAATTTTTTTTTGCTTACCGGGTAGAAAGTTGATAAGTTTAAATAGGTTTTCTCTTGGCTTTTGTCAGCAGAGTCTTCATTAATATTTTCTTCAAAAATTGCAGCTGGTTCCTGAGTGTTTATCAACAAATCAAGCGCATTTTCATTACTATCTAATTCCACAGTAACACTACCATTTATCTCTTTAATAATATTGCAATTTTGTACCTAAAAAAAGTTAATGTAATAATGAATATGTTTTTTAACGCTTTTTAGAACAAATTCCTTACTTGGTCGTGTACAAATATTTCTCTCGATGGAAATTCAGATATTGCAAGGAGAACGGATGGATAGCCACTGCTATTATTACTTTGGTCATTATATCCAACATTACC